TTGATTTCCACTTTCAAGGCACCCCATCAGAATTAAGTCCATATAGTTAGCAAAGTGCCTTCTTTCCTGCCTGGGCAGTAGGCACTTGTTGACAAACTCAAAGAGGACTTTGTGCTGTGGTTTCGTTTCACTCTTGTGCACAAACTTGGCCTCATTCACTTCTTCAACATCACAGAATCTCCTAGTGATTTCAAGGGCAGGAGGAAGAGAATCCATACTTGGCCGTCTTTGCCTAGTGTAGTTATCATATCCCTTAGTAGGGATTTCAAGAATCTCTCCCAGCTTCTCTGCATCAAAGGTCACTTGAACTTCTTTTACTTGGCTGGTGACTCTACCATCTTTGACCTCTGCATTGGCCATGAATTGAATGATTTCATTCCTAGCTAGCCTTCCATCCATCTGAAGGACCATGTCCTTCCAGCCCTGAACAGCGAGGGTATCAACCAAACGAACCATTCCTGGTTCCACCAAGTCTTTCAACAATCTTCCCTTCAAAAAATTTTCTTTTGCCAAACTTGGCCAGCTTGTCTTTTTCACCATCAGACTCACTCTCTTCTTCACCACTCCATTCCCCATCTTCCAAAATTCTAACTTGTTTGATTTTCATTCCAGACCTTATCCTCTTGGCCCATGAAGTTTCAACAGCCTTAGACACAGATGAAGACTTTTTGGAAGAAGTCTTGGTCTTTTTGGGTTTGGGGGTCTGAACCTCCATTGTTGTATGTTCCTCCTGATGGATTTTCCTTAATCCATCCTCTTCTTCTTGCTTTCAGCCAAAGCCTTTTGTAATTTACACTCACTCTATTTCACCCTACATCTTGTAGCTCTTCCCTTTGGCAAGGGAATTTCAGTAGTTGTTGGGGAGGAAGCCTTTCTTTCTTGGAAGGTTTTGCAGTGCTGGGGGCTTTTGGTGTTGGAGTTCTCCTTTTCTTTGGATCATAACTGGCACCTACTTTCTTCAGAAGGTCTACTAGGGTCTCCTTAATAGATGAACCAGGTTTATCTGCCTGTGAACTTAGATTAACCAACCCTTCAACAGTCTCCCCTGAACCACTTCCCCCTGACTTCTTGCCACTTTCTTCCACAATTGCATGTTCAACCCCATAGATAGCTGGAACCATTAATTCAGAAGTGGGTAAAGAACCAGCCACTCCTTTTCCTTTTCCCTCACATCACCATATACACCCTCCCTCTCTTTTTCTTTTTCATTTTTCTTTTTACCTCATCTCCTTCCCAATTCAGGAAATTCCACATTCCTGACAGACCCAACCAAAACAAACCTATTTTCTAAATTTTCAGCCAAAGCAAAACGTACCTCAGAAGGGGAGTTTTGATCCTTCGCAGAGTCAGAAGACCCAGTTCCTTCCCCCGCACTCGCAGATTTGAACGAATCATCTGAGTTCTCAGAATCTTGGGTTTGGCTTGACTTCAACTTCTCGTTCAATTTCTTTGGAAGAGACCCAGTTGCCACTGTCTTCCGAGTAAGCATTTTTACTCGCCTTCTCATAAGCTGATGGGTTGTGCTGGGTGGAGGAGGTGTGGAGGAACCAGAAGGGGACGATGGTGGAGGAGAGCCTGGATTATCTTGAGGGTTCGACATTGTAACTAATTTCTTGGGAGAGTTTGTGAGTTAGGCTTTTGGGAGAAAACAATTGAGAGTGAAATGGATTTTTGACGGTGTGAGTAGTGAGGTTTGCAGAGGGTAATGATGAGTATTTAAAGAAAGAGACCTATTTAATGACTAACGATAGCTTTTAGCAGTCAATTAGAGGTCTAATCAACCTGAAGTTTCAGGTGGAGTGAACGGTTAAGCTTCCCTAGATTTTAAGCATTTTATGTGGTGAGAACTCTATCAGAGACGGAACTGGTACAAAAAATAAACGGATAGGATTTTCTGAACATAGGTAGGACTCTGCTCATGATTTAAATATTTATATTTCTAATTATGCAGAGTATAGAAAACATACCTCATTTTTCAGATGACCAATACTGATGAACCAGGTTCTTCATTTAGAATTCTCTTGATCATGCCTCAATTTACCATAATAGAGAAAATTTTGTTAGAGATCAGTGAGTCATATCCTAGCCTAATTTTTTTTTTCAATTTTTTTCATTGTGCATTCTGAGCTGATCCCAATAGGTGATCTTAATCCTCTATAATTCTAACTTGTTCCTTTCAAAGATTTCTCTACTCAATGCTTTAGTAAAGATGTCAGCAATTTATTTATCACTAGCACAGAATTCTATAGTAATCAATCCTTTCTCATAGTTGTCCCTTCAGAAGTGATGTTTAACATCTATGTGCTTAGTCCTCTTATGATGAACTAGGTTCTTGGTCATACTAATAGCACTAGTGTTATCACAAAAGATAGGGATGCAACCAATTTAACGGCCAAAATCCATCAGCTGCTGCCTGATCCACAGCAGTTGAGCACAACAAGAGGCAGCAACAATATACTCAGCCTCATCAGTGGATAAGGCCACTGAATTCTGCTTTTTAGTGGCCCATGATACCAGACATGAACCAAGAAATTAGCCATAGCTGAGGTGTTTTTCCTATCCACAAGGAAGCCTGCATAGTCAGCATCAACATATCCTACTAGATTAAAGTTACTACCTTTATGGTACCAAAGACAAAGATCAGTAGTGCCTTTCAAATATCTCAGTATCCTCTTAACATCAGTCAAGTGGTATTCCTTAGGATTTGCCTGAAAATGAGCACAAATCCCTACACTAAAACTATGTCAGGTCAGCTAGCAGTAAGATACAAAAGTGAGCCAATCATACCCCTATACAACTTCTGATCAACAGATGAACCAGGTTCATCTATTTCTAATTTAGTAGATGTTGCAATGGGTGTGTCTATTTCTTTTGATTCATCCATTTTAAACTTCTTAATCAACTCTTTTGCATATTTCTGCTGATGGATCATGGTTCGATTTGGGTTTTGTTTGATCTGTAAGCCTAAGAAAAAGTTAAGCTCACCCATCATACTCATTTCAAATTCACTCACCATTAATTTTGCAAATTCCTTACTCAGTTTTTCAGTGGTTTCCCCAAAAATTATGTCATTAACATATATTTGTACTACTAGTAGATCCTTACCTTTTTTCCTCAAGAATAAAGTGCTGTCAATCTTACCTCTTTTGTATCCATGTTCAAGCAGGAATTTGGATAGACGTTCATACCATGCTCTAGGAGCCTTCTTGAGTCCATATAGGGCCTTTTCCAATTTGTATACATGATCTGGACACTCCTTACTTTCAAACCCTGGAGGTTGTTTGACAAAGACTTCTTCTTTTAAGTAGCCATTTAGGAAGGCACTCTTCACATCCATTTGATGAATGGTGAATTCCATATGTGCTGCAAAGGCTATGAGGAGTCTTATTGCCTCCAGTCTTGCAACTGGAGCAAAGGTCTCATCATAATCTATGCCCTCCTCTCTGCTATAACCTTGGACCACCAGCCTTGCCTTGTTCCTTGTAACTGTTCCATCTTCATCAAGTTTGTTTCTGAAGACCCATTTAGTGCCAATTACTGATCTGTCCTTGGGTCTTGTGACCATATGCCACACTTGGCTTCTTTCAAACTGATTGAGTTCATCTTTCATTGCATTCACCCAATCTGCATCCTGCAAAGCTTCAGCAACATTTTTAGGTTCAATAAGAGATAAGAATGCATCAAAAGCACACAGATTCTTTAATTGAGATCTAGTTTTAACTCCAGAAGTTGGATCAGTAAGGATGTTCTCAATAGAACTTTGATACTTGTAAGGTTTCACAACCAACTGATTTCTATTTGGAGTTTCTCCCATGTTTTGTTGCTGAGGAACAGGCTCATGGACAGGTTCCATTTGGGAGTTAGATTCATTTCTTCTTTGTTCAGTTCCCCTTGTCAGGTTGCCCTGGATGTAAGAACGCGTTCCATCACCTGTTCCTTCTTTTGGTGCATCTTCAGCTTGAGTTGTGACTTGACTCAATTCTTTTACCAGCCCAATAGCTTCATCTTCACGTTCCTGTCTCTCAGAAAGAATGTTAGTTTCATCAAAAACTATATGTACACTTTCTTCTACACACAAAGTTCTTTTGTTGTACACTTTATAAGCTTTGCTATGTGAAGATATCCCAAGAATACTCCCTCATCACTTCTGGGATCAAACTTACCTAGGGAGACCTTTCCATTATTGTGCACAAAGCACTTGCATCCAAGTGGCCTAAGATGTGATATATTTGATTTTCTCACTTTAAGTAACTCATAGGGAGTCTTCTCTACAAGAGGTCTAGTCATGCACCTATTAATGATGTAACATGCAGTATTTACAGCCTCTGCCTAGAAGCTATGGGGCAGTTTACTAGAAAGAAGCATAGTCCTAGCAATATATTCAAGAGTCATATTCTTTCTTTCAACTATTCTATTTTTTGAGGAGTCCTAGGTGCAGAGAAATTATGATCTATACCATGCTCATCACAAAATTCAGCAAACCTTACATTTTCAAATCCAGTTCCATGATCAGACCTAATTGATGCAAGTTGGTTACCTAGTTGTTTCTGACTTTTTCTAACAAAGGCAGTAAACATGTCAAATGCTTCATCCTTAGATGTTAAAAACAATACCCAAGTAAACCTAGAGCAGTCATCAACAAGTATCATCACATATTTCTTACCACCTCTGTTTAATGTTCTCATTGGACCACAGAGATCCATATGGACCAGTTTCGTTGTCGTAGTCGTGCTTACCATTTTCTTGCCTTTAAAAGAGGATATTACCTGCTTCCCCCTTTCACAAGCCTCACAAACTTTGTCTTCCTTGAACTTGATGTTAGGTAACCCTATCATCGGGTCCTTGGAGACTAGTTTGTTGAGTTGAGTTAGACTTGCATGACCAAGTCTTTTGTGCCACAAGAGGGGATCATTGTCCAACACACTCAAGCAAGTGAGTTCATTTTATAAATGGATCAATTTTTTTGATTTCCATTGGAGATTAGGAATAGATGGACTTTCTATAGGACCCATTTTATTAACAGGATTTATCACTACTTTAGCTACTTTAGCGGCTTGGCCAGTTACTCGAGATTCTCGATTATTCCATTTTCTCATGTTAGCAATGTACAGTGGTCAAATTGGATCATTTTCGTCTCGGGACCTTTTACTTTTTTTCATCATGTGGGAGTTAGAATTAATTCCTGTTTATCTACTTCTATGCATGTGGGGAGGAAAGAAACGTCTGTACTCAGCTACAAAATTTATTTTGTACACGGCGGGGGGTTCCGTTTTTCTCTTAATGGGAGTTTTGGGTGTTGCTTTATATGGTTCTAATGAACCAACATTAAATTTTGAAACATCAGTTAATCAGTCATATCCTGTGGTTTTAGAAATAATATTCTATATTGGATTTTTTATTGCTTTTGCTGTCAAATCGCCCATTATCCCCCTACACACATGGTTACCAGATACCCATGGAGAAGCACATTACAGTACTTGTATGCTTCTAGCCGGAATTTTATTAAAAATGGGAGCGTATGGATTAATTCGAATCAATATGGAATTATTACCTCATGCCCATTCTATATTTTCTCCTTGGTTGATGATAATAGGTACAATACAAATAATCTATGCAGCTTCAACATCTCTTGGCCAACGGAATTTAAAAAAAAGAATAGCCTATTCCTCTGTCTCTCATATGGGTTTCATAATTATAGGAATTAGTTCTCTAACCGATACGGGACTTAATGGAGCCCTTTTACAAATAATATCTCATGGATTTATTGGTGCTGCACTTTTTTTCTTGGCGGGAACGACTTATGATAGAATCCGCCTTGTTTATCTTGACGAAATGGGCGGAATAGCTATTCCAATGCCAAAAATGTTCACGATGTTCAGTAGCTTTTCGATGGCTTCCCTTGCATTACCAGGTATGAGTGGTTTTGTTGCCGAATTGATAGTTTTTTTTGGAATAATTACCGGCCAAAAATATCTTTTAATTCCAAAAATACTAATTACTTTTGTAATGGCAATTGGAATGATATTAACTCCTATTTATTCATTATCTATGTCACGCCAGATGTTCTATGGATACAAGCTATTTAATGCCCCGAAGGATTCTTTTTTTGATTCTGGGCCGCGAGAGTTATTTCTTTCGATCTCCATCTTTTTACCCGTAATAGGTATTGGTATATACCCGGATTTCGTTCTTTCATTAGCAGTTGACAAGGTCGAAGTTATTCTATCTAATTTTTTTTATAGATAATTTGGATGACTGAAATAAAAAAACCTATGTTTGTTTTGAAAAACATTCTTGGACAATGAAAAAAAGAAGACTTTTTTTCTTCTCTTAACTCTTAAGTTAAGTAAAAACAATGAAATTGAACTACATATGGTAGAAAACCGTGTGAATCAAATATTGTATTGATGATTCACACGGTCCGCACGCTGGTTCATACAATGCGCCGCCCGCTCTTGTATTTGTAATAACTTGTCTTGAATTCAATTAAATGTTGATGGAAAAGAACCATAACTATGTAACCCTATTCCTAAAAGATTGACCCCAAAATAGCATATCCAAATTATAAGAAAGCCTATAGACGCTACAATTGCAGAATTTGCACCCCGCAAATTTCTATTTGTTCGAGTATGTAAATAAATTGCAAATACGATCCAAGTAATAAATGCCCAAGTTTCTTTTGGGTCCCAATTCCAATACGACCCCCACGCTTCATTAGCCCATACCGCTCCCGAAAGGATTCCTATGGTTAAAAAAGTAAATCCTAAACTAATAACCCGATAACTCCAATAATCCAATTGTTGAATCAATTGGGACCTGTAATAATTTTTAGCAGAAAAAAAAGAAGTATTTTGTAAAACATTTTCACCCAAGAAAAATGACTCGTTTAAAAAACCATTGCTCTTATAAAAAAGCTGTCTGTTTTTTCGAAATGTAATCACTAGAAGTGCTACTGATAATAATGATCCACATAAAAGGGCTGCATAGCCCAATATCATCATACTTACGTGCATTATTAACCACTCGGATTGAAGAGCAGGTACTAATATCACAGATTGGTGTATTTCAGTTAAAATCCCTGACGTAGCAAAGCCTTGGGTAAAAATAGCACTAGGGCCAGTTATTTTACTTAAAATTAAAACATTTTTTTTGAAATACGGAATTATATGAATAAGGGAGAAACTCCATGAAAGGAAAATTAATGATTCATATAAATCGCTTAGTGGGAAATGTCCAGAAGAAATCCAACGAGTAACTAATAATCCTGTTATACAGAAAAAAGTAACTATTATGCCCTTTTCTGATGAATCGTATAGTTTTACGATTTCATCGACTAAAAGGGTTATCAAATGAATTGTAATTACAATTGAAACGATCGAAAAGGAAATGTGAGTTAATATATGCTCTAAGGTTGAAAATATCATAAAAAATCTTAAAAAAGAAGAGTCCCTTAATTACATAATTCTAAAAAGGAAATCGGGAATTGAATTCATTATAAGATCTATTTATCCTTTTTAGAAGACGGTATGCCGCCACTCGGACTCGAACCGAGATGCATTAGCACTGCTTCCTAAGAGCAGCGTGTCTACCAATTTCACCATAGCGGCCTGTCTTGAACTCATAATAGCCTATGAATAAGCAATCGTCGAGATTGAGGAAGCTATTTTAGTTTAGTAATGATTCAAATGGATCAATAACAATAAAAAGTTGTTCAAATAGGAATTTGAAGTTGAAGGTTCATTATTTTAGATTTGAGTTTAGAGTCTTAGTTTTTTTTATTTAACCTGGGACTTTCCTATATTTTATGCTTTCCTCGAATTGAACTCTTGTAACTAAACCGTTCTATACTCAATTATGGATTTTGAAGACAAAATAGAAAGAAAAGAACCTATTTTGCATCGCTCAAAATTGACAACCAGTCATACAGAATTTCATTAAGCAATTTTCTCTATTGGGTTAAGGGCAAGATATACATGGGGATCTATATAATAATTCAGAGAAAATAAAGAATTAGAAAGTTAGACAAAACAAAAAGGTTTCAAAATAGAATCAATTAGTTTCAATGAGTTCTTAACTTTCACTAATTTCACTAAAGATTTTTAGATACGTTCTTCTATAGATATGGAAATAGAATGGAAATATAGAATTTTTTTTAATGGAATTCTGCAAATAGGTCGATGGGGAAAATGAAACTCCCCACCTTGGAATAGAAATGATGTTTATTCTTTTGTCAACAAAAAAGTTATTATTCAGTAAATAGAGGATTTCCTAATTCTATTATTTTATCTATCAATCAGAAAAGCGAAGCGAGTTCCATTACGTATTGATTGGTGAGCTAATCAATATCAAATATGAAAGGGAAATCGTTAAATTATTCAATTAGATAATAATTGAATAATTGAATTCTTTTTTCAAGTTGATTCAAATTATTCGAACGTTTTATTACTTATTTATTTTTGTTTGGCGTACAAAAAAACTTTTTGAATTCCCGGTAGAAAGAGATTTCGCTAACGAAAAAGCCTTTAATGCTATCGAATATCCCTTCCTTTTCCAAATATTTTTACGAATACGCTTTTTTGATGTCGAAGTGCGTTTTTTTGGAACTGCCATTTAGAAATTAAAAAATTACTCATTGTTATAGCTGGATGTGAAAGACATCTATTGTTCAAAACGAATTCTTTTTACTACTATTTATTTTCGAGCTAATAGTGTCGTCCGAAAATAAAACATTATCGAGATAGGCAAAAGATGTGTGAAAATTGCATAATACTGGAAATAAAAAAAGAAGGTCAATATGTGTTTTTTCAAGTTTTTCTATTCCATAAAACATTCATAATTGTAAAAAAAAAGGTTCTCTATTGACTGGTAGCCTTATTTCACATTATTTTTGATTCATAAAATCTATACCTATAGAATTTGCTAATCGGCTGTTCTGTAGAAAGGAAATTAGTTGAACTTAATAAAAATCAAAAATAAAATAAAGAATCCAAAAAAACACGATTTCTATTTATGGTTCCACATTTCATTTACATGCAATAAAATACTTCGAAAGGTTTAAAGATAAGAACCGCATTTTTACTTCATGAAATGAAAAACTTGAATCCCCGTTCGATTCACTGGTCAAACTTGGAGAAAAATAGGCCTATTTCAAAAGAGAAAAAGAGACTAGTAATTAATCCCTTTCATATCATTTGACCAATTGTAACTTCTTGATTTCAATAGTTGAAGTATTTAGCAAAGACTCAGAATAAGTAAGAATAGAAAATTCGATTTAAGTTTTAAATTAGTTTAAGTTAGTCCATTCACGTTTGCTCTTTTGCTCTCAATTCACGTTTAACTTCTGCTTATGTGCATTACCTGTAAAAGAAAACAACACTGATATTTAAGGAGTTAGTAATTAGAGATTTACTAGGATACAGATGCTACTGTTCCATAGTGGAAGAGTTCTAGTTGATCTCATACTCTAACACTATCCTTTTCCTAAACCGTGTTCTCTTTGTGTAAGGAGTCTTTCTCCTTATCCAATATGCAACCTTTTCGATCATGATTAGGAGATATTACTTCTGATAAGTTAGGTTTATCTCATTCACGTGCATTTCACATGTTTGGGTTTGATCACAACTGTGCTTCACAAAATAGACCTGGTCCATATCTGAGTTCTTTTGCCAGTCTTCAAAACTTCACCTTTACCTGGGCCAACAAGTACATAATTAATTTATTGTGTTTTAGTTCCATATTTGGTCTTAATTCCTAATCTTGATACTTATTTTGTTATTCCGTCCGTTAGGCTTAGATTTCTTTTGAGGTAAACGTTTCTTGCTTTGATAAGTTTCCCTCTAAAGTCTAAACTCTCTCATATTCTTTAAAATTAAAGTTTTTTCCCCATCTTTTACTTTTTAGTATATTGCACAATTTTTTGATTTAATAGTTCTTCTTACCTATTGATGATATGCTATAATTACATATTTTAGTCGATTACTACATTCCAATTCACTGGACTTCAGTTGAGTTTGTGCTTTAATCGCTAGTATTTTGCACTGATTGTGTGTTTTATTGCTTGTAGGAGTGATTTCGAGCTATGTAGATGTTATGGAATGAATTCAAGTGATTTGGAGTTTTGAAGTCTGAGTAAAAGCCCAAAAAGTTAAGTGGTGATCGTGTTCGGGGATCAATGGATGATAGTTAAGAACGAACGAAGAATCTAGTAGGCATATTGCGGACTATCTAGTAAAATGCACATAACTTTTTGATCAGAACTCCATTTGGGCACCACAATATATGGTTGCAAATATAATTCAAAGGTATCAAAACTTTCATGTTTTATGTTTTTTAAAATTCCAAACACAACAGGGTGAAAATGCGTGACAAGTGCTCCGCGGTCCGATTCGTGGCTGCAGACAGAACTTGGCCAAAATCCGCGGCCAAATTCGCGGTTGAATCTGCGGCTGCGGCCGTCCTGTCCGGAAAAAGTGTCCTTTTATGAATAAGAGAAGGTGTAATTGTTTGGGCCCAACCCTACTTTGTATATATACATGGAAAAACTGTGAGGACCTTTGACATACTTTTGACATAATTTAGACCTAAGGAGGCTAAGGAGACCGGGGAGTCGACCTAAGGAGGCAAGAACGCACTAGGAGCATGACGGAGAATTCTTCTACGAGTTTTTCACTTCCTTCTTCCTATTTTCATTAGTGGTTATGAATTCTAGTATTGTAGTTTTGCATACTATTATGAATAGCTAATTCGTTATCTAGGATTTTGATGAAACCTATTGGAGGATGAATTTGATGTTACGTTAATATAGATTTGTTGTATTATTTTCTCTATTTGTTCAACTACGTTATTATTGTGTTGAAGAGCTCGTAATTGACTGTGCATATTTAGTGTGTATTACTCGGGAGAGAATGCATATTTAGGTAGTCGTTGAACAACATCACTCCTAACGTATATGAGGGATCAATACGGAGGGTTTAAAGGTGGGATTAGGGATAGCGAAACCTTGGGTGCGATCCGAGTGAGCCGTACTTAATGCTAGCTAGCGTAATTCGGGAGAATATGTCTAGTAAATTGTGGTAATTACTCGGGAGAGAGTTACGACAGTCAGAGCGCTCATGATCGGTAGAGAATACTTAGGAAAATTTATAAAAAAC